CATATGGCTCCAGGTTTTCCCAGTCAATCTCCCTGTGGTTGAAATCCCCCATAACCAGCAACTTTGCTCTGCTGGAGTGAGCTCTTCTTGCCACCTCAGCAAGTGTGTCCACCATTGCTCTGTTGCTCTCTTCATATTCCTCTCTTGGCCTCCTGCAGTTCTGTGGTGGATTATACATCACTGCAATGACCACTTTGTGTTCCCCAGACTGAAGTGTACCTGCTATGTAGTCTCTTTCTCCTGTCTCATCTATTCCTTCCATTTTCTCGAATTTCCATCTGTTTTTTACGAGCAGAGCAACCCCACCTCCCCCCCTACCCCTTCTATCTTTCCTCATGATCTGGTATCCTGGTGGGAAGATTGCATCTGTTATTGTCTCCATGAGTTTTGTTTCTGTAACTGCTATGATGTCTGGGGACTTCTCATTGATTCTTTCTTGCCATTCCTCATGTTTATTCGTTAATCCATCTGCATTTGTGTACCAAACCTTCAACTTCTGTTCTAATACTGTAACTGTGGTGCGGGGGGTGGAAACAGAGGGATCGGTGTGTGATGGTTGGTTTGGAATGTTCAGTTGCCTTGGGGGTGTCACAATCACTGTACTCATGTGTCCTCACAATCACTGTAATCATGTGTCCTCACAATCACTGTACTCATCATGTGTCCTCACAATCACTGTACTCATCATGTGTCCTCACAATCACTGTACTCATCATGTGTCCTCACAATCACTGTACTCATCATGTGTCCTCACAATCACTGTACTCATCATGTGTCCTCACAATCACTGTCATCATGTGCCTTCACAATCACTGTACTCATGTGCCCTCACAATCACTGTACTCATCATGTGTCCTCACAATCACTACTCATCATGTGTCCTCACAATCACTGTACTCATCATGTGTCCTCACAATCACTGTACTCATGTGTCCTCACAATCACTGTACTCATCATGTGTCCTCACAATCACTGTACTCATCATGTGCCCTCACAGTCACTGTACTCATCATGTGTCCTCACAATCACTGTACTCATCATGCGCCCTCACAGTCACTGTACTTATCATGTGTCCTCACAGTCACTGTACTCATCATGTGTCCTCACAATCACTGTACTCATGTGTCCTCACAATCACTGTACTCATCATGTGTCCTCACAATCACTGTACTCATCATGCGCCCTCAGTCACTGTACTTATCATGTGTCCTCACAGTCACTGTACTCATCATGTGTCCTCACAATCACTGTACTCATCATGTGTCCTCACAATCACTGTACTCATCATGTGTCCTCACAATCACTGTACTCATCATGTGTCCTCACAATCACTGTACTCATCATGTGTCCTCACAATCACTGTACTCATGAGTCCTCACAATCACTGTGAAGGTCTCTGCTATTGTCTATAAAATATTCGTTGGTTTTTCTTAATGAAGATTGTTATTGTTGTTACTATTTATAGGAACACGAAATGGTACTGAATTTATGACCATTTACCACAAGGACATCTGGCGTTTACCTGGAGAGGGTTTCGGGGGTCAACGCCCCCGCGGCCCGGTCTGAGACCAGGCCTCATGGTGGATCAGGGTCTGATCAACCAGGCTGTTACTGCTGGCCGCACGCAAGCTGACATATGAACTACAGCCCAGTTGGTCAGGTACTGACTTTAGGTGCCTGGCCAGTCAGGGGTCTATTGGTAATCCCCCTTATGTATGCTGGGAGGCAATTGAACAGTCTTGGGCCCCGGACACTTATTGTGTTGTGGTATACCCATATTTGAGAAGTTGAACTTTATCTTCAAATTAAAATTCAAAGTTTATTCTCTATAAAGATTACAATGTTGAATTTACAGAATTTGGTTGTTGTGTGGTTTACATGTAGTTAAATAATGATTACAGAGTGTACCACTAAAACGTCTAGCATGGCTAGGCATTTCGGGCAGACTTAGTTTAATTCTTTATTTTAAAATATTACAAATTATGAGGTAAGTTGGTATTATGGCTAAGTGACTAAATACTAGTTTGTGAGTTTAGCAATGTGAATGCTTTTGTTTTGGCACAGTACATAGTTTCAGTATTGGAGTACCATAGGATTCATTATTTTAAAACTGAGATTAATATTTCTGTTTATGGTCAAATGGGTGAGTGAGTGTAAGTGTGAACCACCAGGTGGTATTCGTGTAGTTAGTTGACGGGGTGTATCAGGGAGATAAGATGTTTTCTGATGGTAGTTTTGAAGGTGATGAATGTGTCTGCAGTTCTAGAGTTCTCAGGTAGGTGTTCCAGATTTAGGGCCTTTGACATACATTGAAATTTTTGTAAAGGTTTAGTCGGACATGGGGAATGTCGTAGAGATGTTTGTGTCTGGTGTTATGCCTGTGGGTTCTGTCACAACTATCAAGAGAGCGTTTTAGGTCAAGGTTGATATTGGAGTTTAAGGTCCTGTAGATGTATATTGCACAGTAGTAAGTGTGGATGTACTGAACAGGGAGTAAGTTTAGATCTATGAAGAGTGGGGGGGGTGTGTTGCCAGGGATGGGATTTAGTGATTATTCTTACTGCAGCTTTTTGTTGGGTTATTGGCTTTAGGTGTGTTGCTGCAGTTGATCCCCAAGCACAAATAGCATAGGTGAGGTATGGATAAATAAGTGAGTGGTATAGTGTGAGAAGGGCATTTTGCGGCACGTAGTATCGTATCTTGGAGAGGATCCCAACTGTTTTGGATACTTTTTTGGTTATGTGTTGGATATGGGTGCTGAAATTCAGGTTGTTGTCAAGGTATAGGCCTAGGAATTTGCCCTCATTATGTCTGGTAATTAGAGTGAAGTCGGTGAACTTCATATTGTTTTGAGTGGCAAATTCGAAGATTTGGTTAATGTCCGCTTGGAGTCTCGCGGTGTCTTCGATGGAGGTCACTGCCATGGTGACCCGGGTGTCATCCGCAAAGGAAGACACGGAGCTATGGCTTACATATCTGTCTATGTCAGAAATAAGGATAAGGAATAGAATGGGAACGTGTTTACCTGGAGAGAGTTCCGGGGGTCAACGCCCCCGCGACCCGGTCTGTGACCAGACCTCATGGTGGATCAGGTCCTAATCAACCTGGCTGTTACTGGTGGCTGCACGCAATCCAACGTACGAACCACAGCCCTCCTGGTCAGGTACCGACTTTAGGTGCTTGTCCAGTGCCTTCTTGAAGACAGCCAGGGGTCTATTGATAATCCCCTTTATGTATGCTGGGAGGCAGTTAAACAGTCTTGGGCCTCTGACACTTATTGTGTTGTCTCTTAACGTGCTAGTGATACCCCTGCTTTTCATTGGGGGATGTTGCATCGTCTGCCAAGTCTTTTGCTTTCGCAGGGAGTGATTTCGTGTGCAAGTTTGGTACTAGTCCCTCTAGGATTTTCCAGGTGTATATAATCATGTATCTCTCCTGCCTGCGTTCCAGGGAGTACAGGTTCAGGAACTTCAAGCGCTCCCAGTAACTGAGGTGTTTTATCTCCGTTATGCGCGCCGTGAAGGTTCTCTGTACATTTTCTAGGTCAGCAATTTCACCTGCCTTGAGAGGTGCTGTTAGTGTGCAGCAATATTCCAGCCTAGATAGAACAAGCGACCTGAAGAGTGTCATCATGGGCTTGACATCCCTAGTTTTGAAGGTTCTCATTATCCATTGTGTCATTTTTCTAGCAGATGCGATTGATACAATGTTATGGTCCTTGAAGGTGAGATCCTCCGACATGATCACTCCCAGGTCTTTGACGTTAGTTTTTCGCTTTATTGTGTGGTTGGAATTTGTTTTATACTCTGAAGTTTTAATTTCCTCATGTTTACCATATCTGACTAATTGAATTTTCTCATCGTTGAACTTCATATTGTTTTCTGCAGCCCATTGAAAGACTTCGTTGATGTCCGCCTGGAGCCTTGCAGTGTCTGCAATGGAAGACACTGTCAAGCAGATTCGGGTGTCATCTGCAAAGGAAGACACGGTGCTGTGGCTTACATCCTTGTCTGTCAGATATGAGGATGAGGAACAAGATGGGAGAGAGTACTGTGCCTTGTGGAACAGAGCTTTTCACCGTAGCCACCTCAGACTTTACTCTGTTGACTACTACTCTTTGTTTTCTGTTTGTGAGGAAATTATAGATCAATCTACCAACTTTCCCTGTAATTCCTTTAGCACGCATTTTTTGCGCTATTACGCCATGGTCACACTTGTCGAAGGCTTTTGCAAAGTCTGTGTATATTATATCTGCATTCTTTTTGTCTTCTAGTGCATCTAGGACCTTGTCGTAGAGTATTGTGCCTTGTGGAACAGAGCTTTTTACCCTGGCTATCTGGGACTTTACTCTGTTTACTATTACTCTTTGTGTTCTATTTGTCAGGAAGTTGTAGATCCATCTACCAAAACATCTAACATAAGTCGAGATCATTTACCACGAGGACATAGATCAACATTATTTACCACGAATATATAGATCAACATTTACCACGAGGACAAAGATCAACATTTACCACGAGGGCATATATCAACTTCATTTACCACGAGGATACAGATCAACATTTACCACGAGGACGCAAGTTAACATCACTAAAAAAAAAAAGACTAATAGAGCAGGTGTCTTTTATAAACTTTTGGGAATAGTATAGAAAGTAAAAATAATTTAATAGTGAATCTTTTTGACTCTACTTATTAACAACCTTCACTGAATAAGCCTTGGGACTTGGAAAAGTCTCTTGTTCTAAAGAAATCAAGCTACCCTCCCTAAAAAATGAGAAGTAATCAAACCTGATTACTTCTCATTTTTTAGGTACTGTATTATGACCTCAGTTGTGTTATTATTATTATTCCATTACTACTAGGAATAGTATTTAAAATATTCTTTAGTTTTCCCTCTCTTGCTATTTGGTAGCTCTCTGGGAATACTGCATGTGTTGTTGTTGTTATTATTATTATGTCTCAGTAATAGCTATGATGTCTGGATGCACCTTTTACTTCAGAAGTGGCACAATGAAGTTGTGGAGAGTGCAGATCATCATCGTGTGCGTCATTTTTGTGGTCATCTCTCAAGAGACCCACGCTGAGGATAATGACCTGGAGGACCAGGTAACTCGCATGGTGAGGCAGGTACTGGAGCAGCTGCACGTAGCTACCTGCCACCTGGTCCTGGTCGATGCCACTAACAATAGCACACAATTACCACAAATTATCAGGTAACAAATTCAGTGCTGTTAGAGATTCCTCTGATTCGTTAATAACCTCGTGATGAATGTGAAGGTAACAGAGACAAGCTGAGTTACTGCACTGTCAGTCTTACATAACATATGAAGGTGGTGATTTTGGTGGCGGTGTGATGGTGATTGTGATGGTTGAAGAGGTTACCTGGTGATGCAGTATTGTGTTGCAGGCATGTATCATTTGTGATGGGCATGGTGGTAGTGGAGGTGAGGCAGACGTTACCTGAGGACCAGTCAGAGAGGATTCAATTTCTGCAGAGATTATGGGGGGATCCAATACTTCCCTGTCGCGCCTTCCTTATCCTTCTTGACAGCGACTCTACAAGTGTTGTCACGACCAGTATCAACAATGTAAATACAACTAACGACAGCAATTTCACAAGCAGCAGTAATCGTGTAGTAAGGTACAATATTTCGGATCACTTGAAATTCGGCCCTTTTCCTTTCCCATCCAAATTCATCAGGAAAAGTTACTTAAATATACAGATGTAAAGGCATAATGCCGACAGGTTTGGGTATAAAGAAAATATTCGAAACATGTTTTTATTGAGAAAAACGATTCGCTGAGCAACCTTATCTAACTTTGCTAAAATTTCCATAGAATAAAACCAGATTAATTTTCCAAACCTATCTGAGAATTTGTATAACTGGGAGGTGATTAATCTACAAGTAACCCAACAATTCTTGTGTTTTGCGTATGTGAGTTTGTTATTAAGCATATCAAACCACGAGAATGTTACTCCAGGTACCAGGTTGATTGGAAGTAGACACAACTAGGATAAGGAAAAGGTCACAACCAGTAAATTGGGAAGTAAACCACTTTTCAGTCTGTCCTAGACCATCATCTAGTAAATCTTTGGGGTAGAAGGTGAAATCGAGTCTTCATAATCCTTTACCAGGGATGGCGCCAGAATTTCTTTATCGGAGGGCTTAGAGGTGGTCATCTGGTTGGAAGGGGAAGTAGGAGACTTGTTTTGAAACAGTATTATTACTATTTTTATTTCAGGGGCTTTTGCTCCTTCCCTTTAGCATTCCAAGGCCTCGTTGGCGACCCACGTCTAAAAGATTCTAGAGCCTAATCAGAGCTCAAGAAATTGTCGAAACTGCATCTTACCCTTAAGGGAACTTGGGGATCAACTGCAGCAACACACCTAAAGCCAATAATAACCCAACAAAAATCTGCAGTAAGAATAATCCTGCAATCCAACCAAGCAACACCTTCCCCCACTCTTCATAGATTTAAACTTACTGTTTAGAACATTCACACTTACTAATGTGCAACCTACATTTACAGAACCTTAAATTCCAATATTAGCCCTGACCTAAAACACTTTCTTGATAGTTGTGACACGACCTTCAGGCATAACACCAGACACAAACATTTCTATGACATTTCCCGTGTCCGGCTAAACCTATACAAGCATTCAGTTTACATAAAAGGGCCTAAAATCTGGAACACCCTACCTGAAAACTCTAGAACTGCAGACACATTCATCACTTTCAAAACTACCGTTAGAAAACAACTTATCTCCCTTACGCACCCCACCGTCAGCTACATGAAAACCGCCTATTCTCTTGTATCATACACACATAAAAAACAACCTAGACCTCTCCTCGGTATCTGTGATTCCCCACAATTCGCACTTACACTCACTCACTTGACTATAAACATAGAAATGCGTAATACGACTATTACGTAAATGAATCTTAACTAATCATAAGTTTGCCTGTGATACTCCAGTATAGAAACTATGTATTGTACCAAAACAAAACTGTTCACATTGCTAAATTTACGAACTGTAATGCAGTTACTTAACCTTAATACCAATATGCTCCATAATCTGTACCAATATAGAGTTTTGAATTAATCTTAGTCTGCCCAAAATGCCTAGTTATGCTAGGTGTGATAGTGGCTTTCTCTTTAATTACTATTTTATAATATATAAACCACACAATATCCTATAATATGTAAACCCCGCATTGTAATCTCTATAGACAGTAAACTTGATTTAATTTGCTCATTATTCTCGAGTAACCAAGGGAAGTGAGGAGATGAGATGTGAAGCGGTGTAGTTCCAGTCTTGGAAGAGGTTGGTTTCCAATCGCTCTTAAACTGGACCAATGACTGTATGAACTTACTTTCAAAAATTCATTAAAAATATGAAAGTTATGACAGAACAATATAAGTAAAAAAGGTCTTAAAAAGAGCCAATCTATAACATACTAGAAGCACATCCAAACTCCTCCAGTATTTTTTCTACGATAAAATATGAACCTTCATTGGGGCAATGCTTCGCTTGAAGACTTAACATTTTTTATCATCTATATACACCTGAAAATATTTTAAACAGACTTCAAAAAGGTTTAGGGAAAAAAACATAGACCTGTAAAATTTTGGTCTGTATACAAAACGTTGGCTCAGAAAGGTTTCCATTCTTCCGGAGTTTTTTTTTTTTTATTACTCGTATCCTGATGTTCCAGACTGACTAAAATATCGTCTGTAATTTACCATTTGTAATATGTGGGTGAGTTGTGAAATCCCTCACAGGTTCCTGGAGACGTGTGAGTTATGGCGTGAACCTGATACCAGGGTGCTGGTGGTGGGAAGGAGAGAGAACGTCGAGGAAGTCCTTCTCCACGATACTTTCCGCAACACCCTGCACGCTCTCTACCTCGCCCTCGAATACCTCACCCTCCAGCGAGTGTTCCATCCACCAACCTCCTCCAACCGCCTCAGCAAGTATGCCGCCAGTACAGGTGAGACCCAGAATAAAACTTATAACGCACCCTTAGTGGGAAAATCCCTATTAACTCATTAACTTGCAGAAGAAATTGAAACTGTATTTCGGTTTCTCTTGCCGCGTTTGTTTCATCTCTTATTTATACTTGGTTATAAGGTGAGACGGAGACAAAGAAACGGTAATAAAAACTAGTAAATGTTGGTAATGTGATGAACACAAATTAGGTAGTATCGTTAGTGTGATGACTAGTAGTGAATGTGAATGTTGGAAGTGAGACATACACTAGTGAGATGGCTTATGAAATGGGAAGGGAACTGTAAATTTCGACCTCTAACTGCCCTTTTCCGGTCAAGATGATGTCAGTTAGAGGTCGAAATACAGTCCCCTCTTCATTACGTGTTTATGTTTTTTTTATTATTATTATTCGCCGGTACTCTCACGGCCCGGGTCTTTTCCGAGAGTGGTGACCCGGCCTTGGCTCCCTATCTAGAGTGCCTCGAGATCTAAGTCTCCCAAAGGGATGATGTACAAGTACCCCGTCATCTTTAAGACCAAGTGTCCCCCGGGTTAGCCACAGTCCCCGCCCTCACGGGGCTCGCAGGGAGAAGCTAGGCCTCTGGTCTGCCATCCGCCCCGCCCCAAAGGGGCTCGTGAGGATGGCAGTCTTGTGAGCTGCAGGTGGTAGCAAGCTCAGGCTCTTTTTGATTTATGTTTGCAAGTGACTTATCCCTTATAATACCAATTAATGTAGTGGTATTTATCTGGGGGTGTGTACAGGTGAGGGAGAGGACGTGTGGGTATACGAACGTTGTCTGTACTGCAACCACGGAGATGCTGGAGTTCATCTTCTTCGTGTCTCAAATCTCACCTCAGGTCTCCAGGAAGGAGAGACTTTGTTTCGAGGTTTGTGGTTTGTGTTGTCTCATGACACCACCTGTGTCTTGTGGCCTGAGCTGCTTCACCGTCTGTGTCTTATGCTATCTTAGTGTGCTGCTTCACCGCTTGTTTTTCAGTCTCATTGTGTTGCCTCATCACCTGTCTTTCATTTCAGTGTGTTGCTTCACCACCTGTTCATAGGTAGGAAAGGCCAAGAATATTTATATAAAATTTCCGTCATTATCCTCAAACATATATTTCACCTCCACAGAGTTTGGCGACCTATCAGCCTGATTCCAATGGTACTAAACTCATTTTCGCACCCTACTAACTTTCCACACAGACTCTTATGCCAAGTACCATGTGCAGATCAGCTAGCGGACATGGACGGCCACAAACTACGATTGATGGTGAAGTCTTACTTCCCCTTCACTGAGTTCTTGCGATCTGACGACCCCTCAAACAACGCCGTCACCCTGGTCGACTGCCTCGATGTGCACCTCCTCACAACAGCGGCTGCTAAACACAACTTCACGTACGTATTTCTGTTAACAGGTAGAACATTTGATGATGAATTAAACACTTGTGAAATATTTGAGCATCTTTATTGTGAAAACGTCTGGCCAACCAGTGGCTCCCTCAGTCCAATACCGAGAAAAATGGCTGAAGATCAGGAGTTTGAGGCAATCAGTCCCTAAGCCTGGTATCGATGTGATCAATCCATCAGTTCTAAGTTATGTCCTAGAATTTGTATTGATAAAGCCACTGGATGGCGAAACGTCTACAATAAAGATACCCAGATGTTGCACATGTGTCTTAATTTTTATTAACTAAGCTGCCTTGCAACAGTTTTCTGTAGCTGTAATTTCTAAACACTAACTTGAAATCTAACAAATAACTGTAGCACGGGAAGTTCAGAATTAGTAGCTTCATCAAACAGTAATAATGTATGTAAATGAATGGTTCAGAGAACCGACAAGTTGATAAATTAGACACATGTGCAACACTTTGGTATCTTTATTGAGGAAACATTTCGCTACACAGTGGCTTCATCAGTCCATACAAAGGAGAGCGTAGAACAGGAGTAGTTTGAGGTAATCAGTCCCTCAGCCTTGAGTCGATGTGGTCAGTCCATCAATCTTGAAAAAGAATACAGCATATGTGCGAAGAAGTAGCTTATATACCTTAAGCAGGAGAGGTGCAGCAGTCGTAGGTGGTATCACATTTGTCCAGTGTGGAAGTAGGTCATGCCCAAGGGTTAGGCCACTATGTGGCGAAACGTTTCCTCGATAAAGATACCCAAGTGTTGCACATGTGTCTAATTTATCAACTTGTCGGTTCTCTGAACCATTCATCTACATTCCTGTCTGACACAGCAACTTCTTGGGATCTTAATCCATGGAATTCTTCACTTGCCTAACCCTTGGGCATGACCTACTTCCACACTGGACAAATGTGACACCACCTACGACTGTTGCACCTCTCCTGCCTAAGGTACATAAGCTACTTATTCGCACATGTGCTGCATTCTTTTCAAGATTGATGGACTGACCACATCGACTCAAGGCTGCGGGACTGATTACCTCAAACTCCTGTTCTTCAACGCTCTCCTTTGTATGGACTGATGAAGCCACTGTGTGGCGAAACTTTTCCTCGATAAAGATACCCAAGTGTTGCACATGTGTCTAATTTATCAAGATTTATCTTAAATTTTGCGCTAACAGGTACGTAATCCACGCAAGTCCTGACGGACAGTGGGGTGTACCTGCTGAAGGTGGTAACTGGACGGGGGTAGTGGGGCAGCTGCACCAGAAGAAGGCAGATCAGTCGCTCATGTTGATGCCCACCTTCGGCAGGAGTAGTGTGGTGCAGTTTTCCAGACTCTACACTGGTGACGCTATCCTCATCGTCTCCCTCAAACCTCAGCTACTACCCCGCTACCTCTCCATCATCAAACCTTTCCCAGGTCAGCCTATCCAAATTTACTGTCGCTTTTGACATAGCGTCACTTTCTTGAAGCTTCCAGTTTTTCCAAACATATTTCTTGATTTTAAGTTAAGTCAGAAGTTGGTTAGGCTAGATTAGGTTGGATTAAATTATATGTATTTGCTTAAAACCACTTTGACCTGTGGACGCACTTTATATTACACACACACATCCATAAACAATGCGTGTGTGTATTTAAGCAGAAATAAGTAATTTAAAATAAAATGGCCGCCTTATTACGTCTAATAAGGTGGCCGAGAAAAACAACTTTTAAATTTTAACCAAAAAAATGATACGGGTGTAGATTTAAACGTTTCATGATGTTCTAGTTAGATTCAGTCCAAGGAGAGGAAGGATAACTCCAGGTTCTTGGATCAAGAGCCCTACACCAGTATCATGGAACCTCTTCCCCTCCAACTTTTGACAGGTCATTGTCTCTTTAAGAGGTGTTGTGGGCGGTGGTGTTGGCCAGCATGGTGGCCTGGGGCCTGGCGCTGTGGATCATGCAGAAGACCTGGGCATGGCTGATGGACAGACGAGGCATCAATTTAAGCTTCGCTTACTTCATCAATTGGGCCATCCTTATGGAGAACCCACAAGAAAAGATTCCACGCAACCTCATGTTTCGGGTTAGGCTTCATTTATTTTTGCAATACTTGGTGGTACAAATGATGGCATCTTATTTCTCAATAGCGTAAAAATACTTAACAAAACTACTATTAACAAAGACTTAGAAGAAGACTTTCTTTATATTAATTTGCTTTTATCTGCAACACTGTCATGCAAGATCAAGCATATATCTATGGTAAATTCAACAAAATTAGCAGACTAGGATAACACTTGTGCCAGGCCTCTGCTTGGCTGCAAGTAGTGTACCTCGAGCAGTTTCCACCACCAGCTGATGTAGACATAACCAAATGTGAACTTTGAATGATGGACAGTTGTCACACCTTGCTTCATTTTGTGCTGGAATGTGATAAAATTAATGAATTCGGAGATAACTCTCAAATGTTTAAAAAATGTCAGTGTTATTCACAGTAGCATATTACCAACCATTCTGGTAAAATACCTTGACTTTGCCTATTGTAAAAATAGTATAACCACTTAAGAGGTTAGATTCAGCCATGCCTTGCTAATTATAATAACATAAATAATTAAAAAAACATATAAGCTACACTAATATTTTTGTGATTGAACTCGTGTATGCATAAATAACTCACTACGGCGGTTAAAATATATAAACATGTAAATAGTTCCTTACCACTACAACTTTTTTAATTATCAAAATTTTGCGGCCCAATCCCTTAACCCGTTATGTGCCCCTGTATTTTTTTTTCGACTTACGCCCACAGGATAAGTATGGGATGCATAATAAATATGCATCCCATATTTTAAGGGCCTTTTCCCAAAGATGTAACCCACAACAGTATAAGAAATACATGTGCAAAGCTAGGAAATTTTTATTTCGATGTTTTTTTGCTCCCTAGGCGCTTTTTCAATCCATTATTTCCCTCACTAGGCGCTTTGTCAGTCCACTGGGTTCATAAAAGTCCTGGTAAGCAAAACGTATCCAAATAAAATGTCTCCATTGCATATGTGACTCATATATTTGTTAGTATAATATAACTAATCCCTTAGCTCGATCGCTAGCATACTCAGCTCACGCATTAAGGTCCTGGGATTGAATCCCCGGTACGGCTGGAAAACATTAGGACGTTTCCACAAGACACCTGCTGTTCCTGTCCATCCATCAGCAAAATTGGTACCTGGGTGTTAGTCGACTGGTGTGGGTCGCATCTTGGGACAAGATTGACTTAATTTGCCCGAAATGCTCTGCATAACAAACGTCTTTCTATATAGTAGTATGTTATTGATATCAGCTAGGCCTGTATACCTTGTAAATGTACTTGTAGAAATAAAGATATTATGATTAGCGTGATACGACCCAAAACAGCTGATTAACACTCTGGTTACCTGTATGCTGCTAAGAAGAGCAGTATTTATATGGTGACTTGCTGTTGCGCTTTGTCTTATGGCCTCTTCAGCCGGAGAAGTGTTACTAATTCTTTGTCTTTGTTAATAATAATATTGTTAAACACAAGTTGCAGAATAAGCTTTTTTGTGATAACGTTTCGCCTGAATGCCTTCCACATCCCCCCCCAGGCGCTGTATAATCCTCCGGGTTTAGCGCTTCCCCCTGATTTTAATAATAATTCGCTTGTTCTGCAACTTGTAGGTAATAAACCCGTTCAGTCAGTAACTAACTTTGCTATCAAATAATGTCTACTTTATTCTTTCTCTTATTATTGATGTAAATAAGAAAATATCATATATGTGTAAGGTTGTGCTGATGTTGTTACAGGTGTTGTTGGGTTGGTGGCTCGTAGTGTGTTTAGTAATATCAACGGCCTACCGGTCCTCGCTGGCTGCACACCTCACCGTGCAAGAATACTCCCTCCCCATTAAAACCTTCGAGGACCTGGTGACCCGCCGTCACTGGAAGTGGGGTACATTTGGTGACATGCTCCAGAGCGCCTTCCTCGAGTTCTTCACTGACAATGGTCCTCTTCTTCGCTTGGTTTACAACAAGACGGAGGTGAGTTTGCTTTTACCTGCCACGTCATTAACCCTGACTCAACATTACTAAATCGGTGACGTTTTATTCACAGTACCCATCAAAGAAAGGGAGGTGTGCCCTGATGTCAGTAAAGGGCTTTTGATCCTAGGAATTGTGGTTTCCATCCCGTACCCTGCATCAAACTTGATTACCTTCCATTTCCCTTGCACCTTACCCTGCGTGCGGCCAACAGTAGCAGTCTGGTTAATCAGGCCCTGATCCACCATGAGGCCTGGTCACAGACCGGGCCGTGGGGTCGTTGACCCCCAAAACCCTCTCAAGGTATCTCCAGATTAATCCCTACGGATTTAGCACTTTGCCATAAATTTAATGCAAACTTCTTGAAGGGTCATTTTTGTTCAGGGGACATGAATTTCATAATAGTAATAAAACGTTATTTATTACACATTAGATGTACTCTAAGGACAATGAAGAAAGTGTTCCATTACTCCTTTGACTACCGCCCACAGGATGAGTTTGGGGTGCAAGATAAAGATATTAAACTTTATCGGGCCACCCTACCTTGGTGGGAAACCCGATGTGTTAACAAAAAAAAAACAATAAAGATGACTGACGCCCATTTTCTAATTATTATATTCATTTTAAACGGCTTCGTCTGTTACTAAGGGAATCTAAGGCAATCGAGTTCGATTTATGTTAGTTGGATCAGCTTCATTTCTTCAGATCAAGAGCTCTTTATCAGCGTCAAGTCACCCCCATGATGGGTCCTTTCTCGTAATGTTTACTAATTTTTCGGCTAAGGATGTTAGTACTTTACTCATGAATATACAGTTATTTAAGTTATTTCTGTAACCGGTCAAGAAGCCTGTTGACGTTGCAGAGGCTGCAGAGTGACGAAGGACTTCAGCGAGTGTTGAAGGGAAAATATTCCTTCATCGCATGGAAGAACATGGTGAAGCCGGTGATCGCCATGAAACATACTGATCGCTACGGCCAGAACCCCTTCTACCTGGGCACAGAGTACACCTACCTGCTGGGATACAGCTGGGGCTTCAGGTTGAGTTAGGATGCCTGTTTGTAATTACCTTTTTGTAACTACACGAGCAGAGCTGTGCTCCATGGGTCTATACACGGAAAGATGTGTGTGTGTGTGTGTGTGTGTGTGTGTGTGTGTGTGTGTGTGTGTGTGTGTGTGTGTGCGTGTGTGTGCGTGTGCGTGCGTGTGCGTGCGTGCGTGTGCGTGCGTGTGCGTGCGTGTGCGTGCGTGTGCGTGTGTGCGTGTGTGCGTGTGTGCGTGTGCGCGTGTGTGCGTGTGTAGGATTGGGTCATGACCTCTCAGTGGTTACATTCTCACTACTACTACTACTACTACTACTACTACTACTACTACTACTACCCTGCACCTCTCCTTCCGACAGTATTTAAGTCTCCGCACTGTCGCTTGATCTTCAGATAGTTCCTGACTATGGAACTGAACTTCTCCAGGCCGAGGGACTGACAACCTCAAATTCTACAACTTTAAGGGTGATGGACTGATTACATCGTCTTCACATCTCTACTGTTCCTGCCTACTTTCTGTATTCGACTGAAGAAGCCTACTGTGTAGGCGAAACGTTTCGGAATAAAGTTGTCTAACTGTTGCATATGTGTCTTACCTAACAGCTTGAAAGATTCCACACCTCCGTATGTTCTCGGACCAAGAGTAACACACCTAGCTTGGCTTGGTGCTTGGTTCTTGTAGGATTGGGTGGTCCTGTGGGTTAAAGCGTCATGTGGTTCTCGCTCACAATGGCGGGCCAGTACAACATGAGTTCGAATCTTTGGTTAGCGGTGGGAGACGGCCGACTGTTAAATATATATATATATATATATTATATATATATATATATATATATATATATATATATATATATATATATATATATATATATATATATATACACACACACACACTAAAATATTCCGGACTTTCTGTGTAAAGGTGATATGCAACCTCAATGACATTCATGTAGTCGATAGGCTTTAAACTATTAAAGTAGACTATACCAACCAACCAGCTGTACATGTGGCGTCCCCTTCTCACTGTTTAATCTATCATATATTCTTTTTTCCAGTGGCGGTAACACTAACTTCTCTAGTATCTCATGCCTTTGTTTTGTCACTAATTAATATAATTTTAGCACCGTTTTCCCCAATTTAAGATAGCGGTGTCTTGTGCAAAAAGGCACCTGTGTACAATTTATACAAATAACTCGCACATAAAAGAGAGAAGCTTACGACGACGTTTCGGTCCGACTTGGACCATTTACAAAGTCGGACCGAAACGTTGTCGTAAGCTTCTCTCTTTTATGTGTGGGTTATTTGTGTATCGTTCCAGTCACGGTATTGTGCCTTTTTTTTTTTTTTTGTTACAATTTATAAGTATACTGATGAAAACTCACACTCACGCGAGCTTTTAAATCTCTGCACAAAATTCAATTTAAACCAGCAAATAATAGAGCCTACTAGACTGGAGAATACACTAGACCTCATCTTCACTAACAATGATGATCTGATAAGAAATGTTACCATATCAAAAACAATATACTACTCAGATCACAACATAATTGAGGTTCAGTCATGTATGCGCGGAGCCCCAGACCGACATAATGAGATTAGTCACGAGGGAGCATTCACCAAATTCAACTTCAATAACAAAAACATAAAGTGGGACCAAGTAAACCAAGTCCTAACCGATATAAGCTGGGAAGATATACTAAGCAGCACAGACCCCAACTTATGCCTAGAACAGATTAACTCGGTGGCACTCGATGTATGAACAAGGCTTATTCCTCTAAGAAAAAGGAGGAGTAGATGTAAAACGGTATTGTAAAATGGTATTGTATACCATTTTGATGTTCAAAACAGAAAGAGACAGGCGCTCCCTTTACAGGCGACGGAAAAGAATAACAGAGCGGCTAAAAGAGGTCAATATATCTGAAATGCGTAGGGAGACACTGGTCAGAGAAATAGCAAGCATCGAACTTAAGCTAAAAGAATCCTTTAGGAGTCAGGAATCGCGGGAAGAACTAAAAGCCATAAATGAAATCGAAAGAAACCCAAAGTATTTCTTCTCCTATGCCAAATCAAAATCGAGAACAACGTCCAGTATTGGGCCCCTACTTCAACAAGATGGGTCCTACACGGATGACAGCAAGGAAATGAGTGAACTACTCAAGTCCCAATATGACTCAGTTTTTAGCAAGCCGCTAACCAGACTGAGAGTCGAAGATCAAAATGAATTTTTTATGAGAGAGCCACAAAATTTGATGAACACAAGCCTATCCGATGTTATCCTGACGCCAAATGACTTCGAACAGGCGATAAATGACATGCCCATGCACTCTGCCCCAGGCCAGACTCATGGAACTCTGTGTTCATCAAGAACTGCAAGAAGCCCCTATCACGAGCCTTTTCCATCCTATGGAGAGGGAGCATGGACACGGGGGTCGTCCCACAGTTACTAAAAACAACAGACATAGCCCCACTCCACAAAGGGGGCAGTAAAGCAACAGCAAGAACTACAGACCAATAGCACTAACATCCCATATCATAAAAATCTTTGAAAGGGTCCTAAGAAGCAAGATCACCACCCATCTAGAAACCCATCAGTTACACAACCCAGGGCAACATGGGTTTAGAACAGGTCGCTCTTGTCTGTCTCAACTATTGGATCACTACGACAAGGTCCTAAATGCACTAGAAGACAAAAGAATGCAGATGTAATATATACAGACTTTGCAAAAGCCTTCGGACAAGTGTGACCATGGCGTAATAGCGCACAAAATGCGTGCTAAAGGAATAACAGGAAAAGTCGGTCGATGGATCTATAATTTCCTCACTAACAGAACACAGAGAGTAGTCGTCAACAGAGTAAAGTCCGAGGCAGCTACGGTGAAAAGCTCTGTTCCACAAGGCACAGTACTCGCTCCCATCTTGTTCCTCATCCTCATATCCGACATAGACAAGGATGTCAGCCACAGCACAGTGTCTTCCTTTGCAGATGACACCCGAATCTGCATGACAGTGTCTTCCATTGCAGACACTACAAAGCTCCAGGCGGACATCAACCAAATCTTTCAGTGGGCTGCAGAAAACAATATGAAGTTCAACGATGAGAAATTTCAATTACTCAGATATGGTAAACATGAGGAAATTAAATCTTCATCAGAGTACAAAACAAATTCTGGCCACAAAATAGAGCGAACACACCAACGTCAAAGACCTGGGAGTGATCATGTCGGAGGATCTCACCTTCAAGGACCATAACATTGTATCAATCGCATCTGCTAGAAAAATGACAGGATGGATAATGAGAACCTTCAAAACTAGGGAGGCCAAGCCCATGATGACACTCTTCAGGTCACTTGTTCTATCTAGGCTGGAATATTGCTGCACACTAACAGCACCTTTCAAGGCAGGTGAAATTGCCGACCTAGAAAATGTACAGAGAACTTTCACGGCGCGCATAACGGAGATAAAACACCTCAATTATTGGGAGCGCTTGAGGTTCCTAAACCTGTATTCCCTGGAACGCAGGAGGGAGAGATACATGATTATATACACCTGGAAAATCCTAGAGGGACTAGTACCGAACTTGCACACGAGAATCACTCACTACGAAAGCAAAAGACTTGGCAGACGATGCACCATCCCCCCAATGAAAAGCAGGGGTGTCACTAGCACGTTAAGAGACCATACAATAAGTGTCAGGGGCCCGAGACTGTTCAACTGCCTCCCAGCACACATAAGGGGGATTACCAACAGACCCCTGGCAGTCTTCAAGCTGGCACTGGACAAGCACCTAAAGTCAGTTCCGGATCAGCCGGGCTGTGGCTCGTACGTTGGTTTGCGTGCAGCCAGCAGCAACAGCCTGGTTGATCAGGCTCTGATCCACCAGGAGGCCTGGTCACAGACCGGGCCGCGGGGGCGTTGACCCCCGGAACTCTCTCCAGGTAAACTCCAGGTAAACTGTACCTGTCTTTTTTCCATAATTTGTTTTCCCTGGTAATATTTACTTTATACATTTTTTGGAATGTCTGTTATGATCTTATGTGATATTAAGACTCATTTTTATCCTATTATCCACAGAGAGCATGTTTAGTGTTTTCAGCAATCGTAACTCAGTTTTTTGTTTTTCTTACATTCAGACAATACACGACTGCACCACAAAAATGGCGCCGGTAGCTCCAAGCATGCATATATCTGACCGATATTTTAAAGTCTGCCAGTGTAAAATACGAATTTCTCACGATTACATTTATATTATCTTCACCTACGATTGCAGTTATATAATCTTCACTTATAGTCAGTAGCTTCACGTTGTTTTTGCTTACTCCTTTCTGTTTCCTCTATAAAAACATAAGGATGGAGAAGCACTGCAGCAGGCCTCCTGGCCCATGCTAGGCAGGGTCTTCTTAAAATTTCCATTTTAATGTAGTTTGTGAATTACGGCTGCTGTTAACTTGGACCACCAGTCGTAAGTAATCCTATTATGCAAAGGCTGAATTACCTATTGTCTATCCCATTCATCTCTTCAAAGCTCTAATATTCCTGACAAAATTGTTTCTTTACCTTCTCATTATATTATATCCTGCTGGGAATATTACATTGTTTATAACTGTTTACTTTGTTTTCGTCAGTACTATGATGTCTTGGGTTCAATCTACACTGCCTCACAGGTCATAAGTCAAGTTGCTCTTAGTGGAAGGAGGATCGAACCTCCATCACTCTTGTGCTGAATGACCCACGCAGAAGTAGCGCTTCAGGAAATGCAATACAGTGCAAATCAAGCTAACACCACGGGCAGGTTATGAGTCCAAATCACCACCAACAGGTGGGGAGCACCACAACGCTTATGCTTTGCAACATTCAAGCAGCGATTACTGGAAGCTGGGCTGGTGAATTACTGGCTCGAGAAGGTCCTGGAGAAGAAGAAGGCCCCTGCTGCCACAGCCTCCACGCAGCAACAGGTGAGCATGATGCATCACTAGTGAATTTTTGCTCTCAATCGAAGCACTTCTGGCTCCTATCCAAAGGGCACGGGCTCGATCCTGGGGCAGGTGAAGTCGTGGATATATTTTTTTACACTTCTTACCCTTTTTTCACCTAGCAATAAGTAGATATATGTTAGTCAACTGTTGTGGGTCACGTCATGGGGAAGAAGACCAGAGGACTGCCATTGGAAATAAGCTACACTGGCTTTCTAAGCTTGAGTTACTGTCTCTCCTGTTTAGTAATCCAAATAAAGTCTTCAACTTGGACAACAGCTAACAATGGAAGGACGTTAGGAAGCACTTTTTCATTGTGAGCGGGAATAAGTGGAACGCACAGATACACGAGTCCAACAATATACATAGTTTCAAAAGTATATATGATCGATCCATGGAGATCAAGAATCAATCACATTTATTGATAAAGAGTTAAGAGGCAGGTACAGGAGTTAAGAATCAAAGCGTGCAAACACAAGTAGATGTGTTGTCTTCTTAACACAAGTAGGTGAAAACAATTGTGTATACACTGCACTAATAATCCCATCCTCTATGATGCAGTTTCGTCATAAACTGTAGCAAGCTGTAGAGCGCTGAAGCACACGCAAACACATTTCCACTGAATTCACTTGATAATTGCCTAGGACGGACTGAAACTTCTAAATTTAAATTGCAGGTTGTGAATTGTTTCAGCCATTGTATCGTGACTTATTCTTTTTTGGCAGTCTGAGTGAGTGAGCGAGTAGGGGGAGGGAAAAAGGTTATGAGAGTGTGTGTGTGTGTGTGTGTGTGTGTGTGTTTTGCAGGCTGGTGGTGACACCCAAGTGTGTATGGTGAAGGATGGTGGTAACAGCCAGGTGACACTGTAGCTGGAGGTAACATCCAAGTGATACTGATTGTATATGTTGCAGGATGGTGATGACGGCCAGGTGATCCTGAGTGTGGATCACGTGCAGGGTTCCTTCTTTGTCCTTGGCCTGGGGTTCGGCCTGGCTCTCATCGTCCTCGTCGCCGAGGTTATCATCCACCACAGACACTCACACGCCCAGGATTCCCACGATGGCGCACACAGCCACCCGCCCACACTCACACCCAGACCTCTCACGCCCACACTCACGCCCGCACACTACAGGCCTACAAGCAGCATAGGCAGTTCTAGCTATAGAAAGCGTGAAGCTTGATGTCATTGCATTTGGCTAATTATAAAACATTATTACCTGATAATATATTATAAAATAATATGCATTATGTTTATATGTAGCACTATACCCTTATAGGTCATTTAGCTCCAGGGAGCTGATAGGATACTTGATAACGATCGACCTGGACTAGAGGAAGCCCATGAAGGGTGACGTCGACAACTTCTTGCTTCATTGGCTGGAATACTAGCTACCAAGGCTGCTTGCTTCATTGGCTGGAATACTAGCTACCAAGGCTGCTTGCTTCATTGGCTGGAATACTAACTATCAAGGCTGCTTGCTTCATTGGCTGGAATACTAGCTACCAAGGCTGCTTGCTTCATTGGCTGGAATATTAGCTACCAAGGCTGCTTGCTTCATTGGCTGGAATACTAGCTACCAAGGCTGCTTGCTTCATCGGCTGAAATACTAGCTATCAAGGCTGCTTGCTTCATCGGCTGAAATACTAGCTATCAAGGCTGCTTGCTTCATTGGCTGGAATACTAGTTACCAAGGCTGCTTACTTCATTGGCTGAAATACTAGCTATCAAGGCTGCTTGCTTCATTGGCTGGAATGCTAGCTACCAAGGCTGCTTACTTCATTGGCTGGAATACTAGCTACCAAGGCTGCTTGCTTCATTGGCTGGAATACTAGCTACCAAGGCTGCTTGCTTCATTGGCTGGAATACTAGCTATCAAGGCTGCTTGCTTCATTGGCTGGAATACTAGCTACCAAGGCTGCTTGCTTCATTGGCTGGAATACTAGTTACCAAGGCTGCTTGCTTCATTGGCTGAAATACTAACTATCAAGGCTGCTTGCTTCATTGGCTGGAATATTAGCTACCAAGGCTGCTTGCTTCATTGGCTGGAATATTAGCTACCAAGGCTGCTTGCTTCATCGGCTGGAATATTAGCTATCAAGGCTGCTTGCTTCATCGGCTGGAATACTAGCTATCAAGGCTAGAGAGTACCAGGAAAAATTTTTAAACTTAAGTGAAATCTGTTCATTCACAGGTGACGATGTTAATCCTTCACAGTAATGTAAAATGCGCCAAAACTACGATTTTTTGTGTATGTGTGTGTGGTAGGCTTCATCCTTATTGTATGTTGTTTGTAGGTGACCAGCCGGGCTGTGGTTCGTACGTTCGTTTACGTGTGGTCGGCAGCAATAGTCTGGTTGATCAGGCCCTGTTCCACCTAAATTCCTATCCGTTTGTAAAGTAAAAGCAAGCTATTTATATCTTCTGAAGTCATGTAGGTACCTAATAAGACTGGTGATGATGGTGATTTTGACAGTCTGGCGAAGTAGGTACGAACCCCTGATTTATATGATACATGAGAGGGTTGTCTGTCGTCGAGGCACGAGCAGCAGGGTGCATAGTTGTTGACTGAGGTACACACCATGTGAGAGGCACGAGCAGCAGGGTGCATAGTTGTTGATTGAGGTACACACCATGTGAGAGGCACGAGCAGCAGGGTGCATAGTTGTTGACTGAGGTACACACCATGTGAGAGGCACGAGCAGCAGGGTGCATAGTTGTTGACTGAGGTACACACCATGTGAGAGGCACGAGCAGCAGGGTGCATAGTTGTTGACTGAGGCACACACCATGTGAGAGGCACGAACAGCAGGGTGCATAGTTGTTGACTGAGGTACACACCATGTGAGAGGCACGAACAGCAGGGTGCATAGTTGTTGACTGAAGTACACACCATGTGAGAGGCACGAGCAGCAGGGTGCATAGTTGTTGACTGAGGTACACACCATGTGAGAGGCACGAACAGCAGGGTGCATAGTTGTTGACTGAGGTACACACCATGTGAGAGGCACGAACAGCAGGGTGCATAGTTGTTGACTGAAGTACACACCATGTGAGAGGCACGAGCAGCAGGGTGCATAGTTGTTGACTAAGGTACACACCATGCGAGAGGCACGAGCAGCAGGGTGCATAGTTGTTGACTAAGGTACACACCATGTGAGAGGCACGAGCAGCAGGGTGCATAGTTGTTGACTAAGGTACACACCATGTGAAAGGCACGAGCAGCAGGGTGCACAGTTGTTGACTAAGGTACACACCATGTGAGAGGCACGAGCAGCAGGGTGCATAGTTGTTGACTAAGGTACACACCATGTGAGAGGCACGAGCAGCAGCGTGCATAGTTGTTGACTGAGGTACACACCATGTGAGAGGCACGAACAGCAGGGTGCATAGTTGTTGACTGAGGTACACACCATGTGAGAGGCACGAACAGCAGGGTGCATAGTTGTTGACTGAGGTACACACCATGTGAGAGGCACGAGCAGCAGGGTGCATAGTTGTTGACTAAGGTACACACCATGTGAAAGGCACGAGCAGCAGGGTGCACAGTTGTTGACTAAGGTACACACCATGTGAGAGGCACGAGCAGCAGGGTGCATAGTTGTTGACTAAGGTACACACCATGTGAGAGGCACGAGCAGCAGCGTGCATAGTTGTTGACTGAGGTACACACCATGTGAGAGGCACGAACAGCAGGGTGCATAGTTGTTGACTGAGGTACACACCATGTGAGAGGCACGAACAGCAGGGTGCATAGTTGTTGACTGAAGTACACACCATGTTAGAGGCACGAGCAGCAGGGTGCATAGTTGTTGACTAAGGTACACACCATGTGAGAGGCACGAGCAGCAGGGTGCATAGTTGTTGACTAAGGTACACACCATGTGAGAGGCACGAGCAGCAGGGTGCATAGTTGTTGACTAAGGTACACACCATGTGAAAGGCACGAGCAGCAGGGTGCACAGTTGTTGACTAAGGTACACACCATGTGAGAGGCACGAGCAGCAGGGTGCATAGTTGTTGACTAAGGTACACACCATGTGAGAGGCACGAGCAGCAGCGTGCATAGTTGTTGACTGAGGTACACACCATGTGAGAGGAACGAACAGCAGGGTGCATAGTTGTTGACTGAGGTACACACCATGTGAGAGGCACGAACAGCAGGGTGCATAGTTGTTGACTGAAGTACACACCATGTGAGAGGCACGAGCAGCAGGGTGCATAGTTGTTGACTGAGGTACACATCATATGAGAGGCACGAGCAGCAGGGTGCATAGTTGTTGACTGAGGTACACACCATGTGAGAGGCACGAGCAGCAGGGTGCATAGTTGTTGACTAAGGTACACACCATGTGAGAGGCACGAGCAGCAGGGTGCATAGTTGTTGACTAAGGTACACACCATGCGAGAGGCACGAGCAGCAGGGTGCATAGTTGTTGACTGAGGTACACACCATGTGAGAGGAACGAACAGCAGGGTGCATAGTTGTTGACTGAGGTACATACCATGTGAGAGGCACGAACAGCAGGGTGCATAGTTGTTGACTGAAGTACACACCATGTGAGAGGCACGAGCAGCAGGGTGCATAGTTGTTGACTGAGGTACACATCATATGAGAGGCACGAGCAGCAGGGTGCATAGTTGTTGACTGAGGTACACACCATGTGAGAGGCACGAGCAGCAGGGTGCATAGTTGTTGACTAAGGTACACACCATGTGAGAGGCACGAGCAGCAGGGTGCATAGTTGTTGACTAAGGTACACACCATGCGAGAGGCACGAGTAGCAGGGTGCATAGTTGTTGACTGAGGTACACACCATGTGAGAGGCACGAACAGCAGGGTGCATAGTTATTGACTGAGGTACACACCATGTGAGAGCCCCGAACAGCAGGGTGCATAGTTGTTGACTGAAGTACACACCATGTGAGAGGCACGAGCAGCAGGGTGCATAGTTGTTGACTGAGGTACACATCACATGAGAGGCACGAGCAGCAGGGTGTATAGTTGTTGACTGAGGTACACACCATGTGAGAGGCACGAGCAGCAGGGTGCATAGTTGTTGACTAAGGTACACACCATGTGAGAGGCACGAGCAGCAGGGTGCATAGTTGTTGACTAAGGTACACACCATGTGAGAGGCACGAGCAGCAGGGTGCACACTTGTTGACTAAGGTACACACCATGTGAGAGGCACGAGCAGCAGGGTGCACAGTTGTTGACTGAGGTACACACCATGTGAGAGGCACGAGCAGCAGGGTGCACAGTTGTTGACTGAGGTACACACCATGTGAGAGGCACGAGCTGCAGGGTGCACAGTTGTTGACTGAGGTACACACCATGTGAGAGGCACGAGCTGCAGGGTGCATAGTTGTTGACTAAGGTACACACCATGTGAGAGGCACGAGCAGCAGGGTGCACAGTTGTTGACTAAGGTACACACCATGTGAGAGGCACGAGCAGCAGGGTGCACAGTTGTTGACTGAGGTACGCACCATGTGAGAGGCACGAGCAGCAGGGTGCATAGTTGTTGACTAAGGTACACACCATGTGAGAGGCACGAGCAGCAGGGTGCACAGTTGTTGACTAAGGTACACACCATGTGAGAGGCACGAGCAGCAGGGTGCACAGTTGTTGACTAAGGTACACACCATGTGAGAGGCACGAGCAGCAGGGTGCACAGTTGTTGACTGAGGTACACACCATGTGAGAGGCACGAGCAGCAGGGTGCATAGTTGTTGACTGAGGTACACACCATGTGAGAGGCACGAGCAGCAGGGTGCATAGTTGTTGACTAAGGTACACACCATGTGAGAGGCACGAGCAGCAGGGTGCACAGTTGTTGACTGAGGTACACACCATGTGAGAGGCACGAGCAGCAGGGTGCATAGTTGTTGACTAAGGTACACACCATGTGAGAGGCACGAGCTGCAGGGTGCATATTTGTTGACTAAGGTACACACCATGTGAGAGGCACGAGCTGCAGGGTGCACAGTTGTTGACTAAGGTACACACCATGTAGTGTTGCAATTGGGTATTAACGGAGTAAAGTCCGAGGCAGCTACGGTGAAAAGCTCTGTTCCACAAGGCACAGTACTAGCTCCCATCTTGTTCCTCATCCTCATATCCGACATAGACAAGGATGTCAGCCACAGCACCGTGTCTTCCTTTGCAGATGACACCCGAATCTGCATGACAGTGTCTTCCATTGCAGACACTGCAAGGCTCCAGGCGGACATCAACCAAATCTTTCAGTGGGCTGCAGAAAACAATATGAAGTTCAACGATGAGAAATTTCAATTACTCAGATATGGTAAACATGAGGAAATTAAATCTTCATCAGAGTACAAAACAAATTCTGGCCACAAAATAGAGCGAAACACCAACGTCAAAGACCTGGGAGTGATTATGTCGGAGGATCTCACCTTCAAGGACCATAACATTGTATCAATCGCATCTGCTAGAAAATGACAGGAGGATAATGAGAACCTTCAAAACTAGGGAGGCCAAGCCCATGATGACACTCTTCAGGTCACTTGTTCTATCTAGGCTGGAATATTGCTGCACTCTAACAGCACCTTTTAAGGCAGGTGAAATTGCCGACCTAGAAAATGTACAGAGAACTTTCACGGCGCGCATAACGGAGATAAAACACCTCAATTACTGGGAGCGCTTGAGGTTTCTAAACCTGTATTTCCCTGGAACGCAGGAGGGAGAGATACATGATTATATACACCTGGAAAATCCTAGATGGACTAGTACCGAACTTGCACACGAAATCACTCACTACGAAAGCAAAAGACTTGGCAGACGATGCAACCACCCCCCCAATGAAAAGCAGGGGTGTCACTAGCACGTTAAGAGACCATACAATAAGTGTCAGGGGCCCGAGACTGTTCAACTGCCTCCCAGCACACATAAGGGGGATTACCAACAGACCCCTGGCAGTCTTCAAGCTGGCACTGGACAAGCACCTAAAGTCAGTTCCTGATCAGCGGGGCTGTGGCTCGTACGTTGGTTTGCGTGCAGCCAGCAGCAACAGCCTGGTTGATCAGGCGCTGATCCACCAGGAGGCCTGGTCACAGACCGGGCCGCGGGGGCGTTGACCCCCGAAACTCTCTCCAGGTAAACTCCAGGTAGGGGTTGTATCGTGGCGGTCAGGTTTTATACCACGATGAGCAGAATTAAGTCCCCTGAATGATGAAGCTTCAGGGCAGCGTTGTCTGACGGGGTATTTGTTGGCATTATGATAATGGTGGACCTCCCGTCAAGGAAGGTTCCTTGATGCCTGTGAGTTTATCAAATATTCCAATCATAACTAATTCCATTTAAATTGCATGCTTAAATTACAGGACTAGAAATTATCATTATCATTGTATTGTGTAACTATAGCCTTTTCAAATATTTGTGTGTTTAAATGACCTGTTGTACCTGTCTTATGTATATGAAGTTTTAAATAAAATGTAAAAAATAAATAATAATAATTACGGTAGACACCTGATCGTCTCTGGTGGTTAATTGTACACCATCATACATACAGCTGATCCACTGAAGTTATTGTAATCATGGGGAGCACTAAACTCTTAAGGGTCATATGCCACCTGGAGAATAAGAAGCATTCA